TCTCTGCTATTGCTGATTTCACTCTTGAAGCCAAAGTGAGCACCAGGCAGTCAAAGCCAAGAGGTATCCCAGCTCCATTCACTTTGTGCTAAGAAGATCCATATGTCAGAGAGGCAGGGGCCTGACTTTTCCAGTTTGGCCTCTCTGTTTTGCCTCGCCCCCGCAGTGAAGAGGAGCCTCTCGCAGCATTAAAAGAGAACAAGCATCAGTCCCATCCTTCACACCCCTTGTTAGCAGTCAGTGGCCTCATTTGGTACAGTGGCCATTAATATTTATGAGTGGAGAGTGACTCGCTGGGGCCCAAGGGTCACAAACAGTATGATCTTTCAGAGGGGCCAGTGTTTACTGTGTGCTGTCAGGAAGCTGGTCGGATAAGAGAAGAGTCAAACCCCGCCCATCGTCCTCTGAACCAAAATGAAAGCAGGCTGGAGTTTGGTCTGGGCAGATGTCGGTACAATACCGTTAGTTTTTAGATGAAGCTCTGACGTCAGCTGCAGCAGCTGTGTGGAAGCCTGTGAGCATATATCATCCCTGATATTTAAAAAAAAAGAATATGCCATTTTAAGACCTGACATTTCTATTCTGAAAATCTTTCCCGAAATTGTGTTGTGCTTTCACACAGTGTCTCTTTTTGTTTAGAGTCTACACCCTCCGTGGTCTGAGACTCTCTCTTCAAAAGTACAGTTCATTATTTTCAGTCTGGGAGTGACTCAACAGAACTCGCTGTTCAGCCCGTCTGTGCTCCAGCCCTTATTTGTCATGAAAACACAGACCCAGGCTTCTTTTCACTGCCTGTGATGTTGTCTGTAAATTACAGGTTAGTCACTAATTTGTTCAAAAAAAGCAGTGAGAGCATCGGATTCATCCAAGAACTTTTCTGTTCTGCTTGTTTTGGAAAAATAAATTCAGCTACTGACGGATTTACACAGCATGCGTCAGTGGAGGAAAATTATGACTTTCTTGACTTAGTTGATTGATTCATCACTGAGATGCTCTTTATAGGGAGTTTTTCTTTTAATGTGTTTTTTTTTTGGCCAGTTGATCTCAAATTTGAATATAGAGAATAAAAATGCCGATCTGGTTTCTATTTTTACAGCTTTTGCAGGGAGACATTTCTTTCTCTTAAAGTGAGAGTCTTCATGCTTCAGTCTGGAGCAACAAAACGAAAGTCCCACATACATGTAGAGAAAATGCAAACTACATTGTGCTTTGATAATATGCATGGCGTATTTATTCTGCTCTAACTATTTTAACATTGGATCTGAATGCCATTCACATGCACAAGTGGTTCACTGGAGACTATGCACATTCTTGCCAGGGGGAAATTGACAGAGACATGCTGGTGCATGCAAAATAGTGCAGAGAATGTGTGGCCATGCACACATGTCAATCCAGAGGAGCATTTTGAAGAGGAAGCCTATTTGCATTGGTCTAGCTCCATGATTAATATCAAACATTTCTCAAGTTCTCAATTCAGTTTCTTCATCTTGTTTGTTGTGTCTGCTCCCTGTGATGACAGTGAGTTTTGTATTATAAATAATTATTATTATTCTAATTAGTATTATTAGGATTGAGACGCAAGGCAACCACAACCAAAATCTAAAGGATAACCACACATGTGTTGAGTGTGTCACATTATTATCATCATTAACATCTTATTTTGTATATTGACATTCTTTCTCCTCCTTCTCAGTAGTGGCATTGGTCGGGCTCTATTCCAGACACTGGTGCTCTGCTTTTGTTTTAAACGTCAAGAATAAACTCTCAACTTCAGACTCTGACTAATTAAAATTTACTCACGAATGAGTCATATTTTATCCCTTAATCAGTCCATGTGAAAGTTTTGTTGCTTGTGGATTTTTATACTTTTCACATAAATGCCATGAATTTTCACCTTTGACTGATACAAGTTTCCCCAATAAACACATATTTAACTCATTTTGTGGCTCAGAGAAATACCACAAAAGCCAAAGGTGAATGCATAGTTTTTATTGCCAGCTGTATGGTACAGGCATACCCTTTGCATTCAGGACAACAAATAAACATCACCATGGTGAAGCCGCTCGGAATATCCATAGATCCTCCAAATAGAAATCTGTGATTTCCCGGGACCCTCTCGCTAACGACATGATAATAGATGGAGCAGTGCCACCCAGTCCTGTAAAACAAGCTTTATGAGACAAAACCTGCACCACTTCCTTCATTCTTCAGCTTTAAAGACTGAAATTAGTATCAATCTGATTCAAGCATTGTCGAATAAAAACATTTTTATATGCTTTTATGATATCTCAATCTTGGATTTTTGCACATATGGTACTTTTATGAAACTTGGCAATTAGAAACTGGGAAAACACAGTATCTTTGATATAACATATGTCTTTTGATTGTTGATTTCCTGTCTCATTTTCCCTTCAACCCACCTCCTATGATATTCCTTTATCCTCCACTTTCAGGCACGCTATTTAAAGTTCACTGCGTTCATTTGTGTTTAAGATTCAGCCACCCGTGTTGCATCCGAGCAAATTTGTTTTTCTTACACAATCTCCCCAGGCAGCCAATATACTCAGATAAGGAGCTGAGAGTTGACTATGGTGAACGGCTTGTTACGCTGAAGACGACTCGCAGCTCCAAAACTCATCCTGACCCTTCCCATCATGCCCCAGGTGGTATCGCTCACCACCTTAATCTAATCAGACACGCAAACCTACTGCATCCCCCAAAAAAGTGCACACTGCAGTTGTCAGACACAGATTACTCTTCGCAGCAGACAGACACAGAATGGTGGGATAAAATGATAACAGGACCTTTTGAGCTCCAGTGTCTGTGGTGGGAGTCAAACCAACAGAGGCCCACCCACGTAGACTGGAGAAGCCTGGGGTGAGGAGGCCAAGCTGTTGAGAGCTGTGGAACAGTATGAACCACAGTGCTTACCACAGTGTCATATTTATGTGTGGTATTTGTCCAGGAAAAACAAGTGTAGCTATCTTGCCTCAAGTCTATCGTGACTTTGAAAACACTTCAGCTACCATTAGAGAAACTGTGTTGGAGCAGAAGAAGAACAATTGGCAGAAACCCTATATTAAGTTTTAAGGTTAATTGTGCCACAACAACAGCAATTCAAATTCAATTTCCATATCAGAATCTATACAGATATCATCATTATTATTGTTATTATTATTATAATCATGCCTCCTGCATGCTCTACCCAGACACCACTCCTCAACAGGTCAATTTCCTGTTGTTGTGAATGCGTCTGACCCGGACAATCTCCTGCTTTGTTCTTCATATGTGAAAAATTGAGCATGACAGTTTCCAGAGTTCATGCCTGAAAACAGCTTTAGAGTCTGCACAGTAGCAACAGAGCTAAATACTACCTTCAGCATCGCACTACAGAATGATCACACAATGACAATGTTGAAGTTGTGATGTATAAAATGATGTAAAATGTAGTATTTAAAGCTAAACAAAGTACAAAAGTACAGCTGAGTTACTCTGTCATGAATCAAAGTATTGAATAAACTCAAGGTTTGGCCTTATTTTGGCACTTGATGGCAAATAGGGGCTGTCTGTAGAAAATAACCCAGTCCAGTCAAAGATTTACCATACTGGTAGTTGTAAGTGAAAAAATGTGCAGAATTTGAGTTTGCACATGAGGTGCAATCAAAGTACTTGAGTCGCTTTGGACCAAAGGTTATTAAACATATTAAAGAAACCATAATATTACATTCTGAGTTATATTTGCCCTTCACAGTCCTGGAAATGATGCTCTGGTTGTAGCTACCACTGGAAAAACCAAGGTTATACCCAATATTCAAATCCAATAGCTGTTGAGACATTTCACTAAAAAATGGTAGCTTTAGTGTTAGATAACAAAATTCAACAGGAGTGATTCAAATTTACAAGACATCCATCCAGTAGTTGTTGAGAGTCAATCTGGACCAAAGTTGTGATGCAACAGAGCAACACACAAGCATTGTCTGGCTGAAAATTAATATTAGCAATTGAATCTTCACAATGTTTCCAGAGATGCACCTCACAGCTCTCTTGTTGACTCTTGGGGTCTGGTCACTAGGCGCAGGAATCACTGGTTTGTTAAAGATAAGAAAAGCTCCAACTCAGCTGCAGCAAAACAACATGTTTATTCCAGAGGAATTCTCCAGAGGTGTCCTAGGCTTCTTTAAATGTTTCTGTAGCAGTTAAAAAACAAGTCTGACAGCTTACTCTCGGAGGGAAATTTCCCTTGTCACATTTCTATCGCGCCCCTTAATCACTCTGACAGACGCTTTGTCTCCAAATTAATTTTTATAAAAAAATCAGTGAGTGCTCAAGTGTTCCAGCACTTGCTTTATGGCCACATGCTTTCTGTCACCATCAGAGGCAACAGCAAACAGGTGTGTGTCCCAGCTATGCCCTCCACAAATCTCAAGGAAACGTCCATGATGCAAAATAAATTAGGATAAAATGTCAACAGGTAGGAATGCTGGTCTAAGAGAGGATGAAATACTGAACTGTTGGGATCATCCAGGAAGTTTAGTGCTGGAACAATTGCTGAAAAGCCAGAAGACCCATTTCACCACCTGGTCCTCCGCTGCCCCCTCGGAGCTCCCCTTTCTGAAAGGAGGCCAAGGAAACCCCTCGTTGGACAAGTGGAAGGAAATGGCTAATGTATAGTGCTTAGACTCAGGGGAATCCATTTGGGGGGTGGGGGATGCACAGAGCTTGAACAAGTAAGTGTTTGTGTGAGGCCAGTCAGTGTTTGGCAGATGGAACACAGACAACACACTGTGGCGCTTGTGTGTGACTGAGGAAGATAGTGAAAGGTAGATAATGATGAAGAGGTCTATAGAGACATAGAAACAGAGACAGTGAGATAAGGAGAGGGAGAATGTATTCATGACGCACATCCCTAGAATAATTTAAGCCAACTGGAGCATATGTCCTCATTCTACTTTCACGATGAAAATGGAAAAAAAGACAACATCTTTTCTATTTTTCTGTCATTTTTTTAATGATTTAAAAACAAATACCTTGACCCTTGATATAGAAATTTACAGCAACCTGGATGAAAACAGTTTCAAAAACAGTTCTTACATTGTAACTTCTATAAAGACATTGGTCAATTTCAGGCACTTGGAACCACATACAGTCTCTGTTTGTCATGCTACACAAGAAAATGATTTCTTTGGTCCTTAACTTCTCTCAATCAGGTAAGCTGAAACCACAGACAGAACGAAAAACATCTTTCTGGTTTCGTACCGAGTATTTACATTTCATTAAAGACACAATACACAGGCCTCCATCAGACCTGAAACAGAACTAGCAAAGTCCCTCTGTCACATATCAACCCTTCATTTGTCCATGTATGTCCACACTGGATATAAAATGCCAACAGAAAAATGATATAATTATAATGGCTCGAATGAGAATTGTTTACAGCAGTATTAATCAATATAACTTAGTGGAATGGTTTTGAGATAAGATTTGGCAAAAAGAAAAAAAAAAGAACCATTAATTCCTTTTTGTTCACACTGGGCCTTATAGCAAAAAGCCTCATTGCTACAGAGCAACCAAGCACGATAAGTGCTCAGCTTACATCAATGTAAAGTTAAAACAGAAAGCTCTCCAGACATCATAAGTCACTGCTTAGCTGCAAGGCAGCCACGTTTGATAAGAGTTACTGAATGTGGCCATGTGCGACTGAACCTGTGCCACGTAGTAATTGCTGAAGTTGACATCTCTGACATAGGGGGCTGGCTGGTAGTAGCAGGTGATGTTGGACAGAGCAGGGATAGCATTCTGTTCTGCCATTACACGCAGCGCCAGTGCGGAAATAAGTGCCAGCGTCTGTCTGCGCTCATGGCCCATCAGACACACAGTGCTCTCGTCCACCACCCGCCTCAGCGTCACCAGGTACTCATAGCGCTTGTGCTCCATGCCCGCAAAGTGGTTCTGCAGATAGCCCTCAAGTTTCCTCTGCTGCTCACTTATGTCAGGGAAGTCGATGAAGAAGCGCGAGCACATGTAGCGCTGCATCTGTTTCATCTGTGCCTCGGAGGATGGCCGAAAGCCGCGCACCAGCAGGTGGCAGTACTTGAGCAGCCCGCCGCCTCTGATCTCTTCTGGGCTGCGGGTGGCGATAGTCTGGGAGCGAAGGTGACCCAGAGCCTCCTCAAAGTCTCCATACATGCTCTCCCCCTGCACTGTGGGGTGGAAGGTCTCAGACATGGCCGTCTCTGAGCAGCGGTCGAAGAGGAGCAATGAGTCCAGAGTGATCTGGAAGGAGTCAACACTGAACTCAAACTGTCGTCTCAGGGAGTCCACAAACTTTAGCTCCACGTTCTTGCCGGTGTTGTTGGACAGTGAGATGAGGCTCCAGCGGTCTGTCTCATTGCAAACTTTCACCAGTTTCTGCACGTACGCCTCCTTCAGGGTGAGGGCTGTCATTCGCTCCCTGCTCACCCCTTCAGGCAAGAAGTCCACCAGGCAGTCTAGCACCACATCTTTCACCAGCCGGAAGGTTTTGTCATCAGTTAGATTTAGGCCAAAAATCAGGTCCAGGTCTTTGTAGCCAAGACCATTGTCCTGGTGCAGAACATGGCTGGCTGCCGAGCCATTCAGCTTAACATCACGGACCTCCACGCCCCTCTCTTCCAGTCGAGCCCTGACCACCTGAAAGATAAAGAGACAGAGGGGAAGAATTGAGTGAACCTAAACTGATCCTGTTGCCAGAGGGTGCCCCACTTAATGTACAGTGCAGCTCTAATTAGTTTAGTACCTGAATCAGAGGTAAGCTGTGGAGGGCAACATGTCAGTGCCTGTCTGCTCCAGATTCACAAAGCAGTGAACTTTTCAACACGTAGCCTATATTGAGAAAATGCGAGCCCATTGCTGTTGGATACTCTTTGGAAAGTAAGAAGTTGTATCTGATTATTGGAACACACACCATGCCTGCACTGCAGCGATGCCTGGGAAAACTGCTGAGCTACAGACAGCTGAGACGTTGCATCACTCCAATGACACAGAGCGGAGAAAACAGCGAAACAAGAAATCCAAAACACAGCTGCCCATTAGAAATTCTCACAGCTATCAATATATGTAGGCAGACCGCTATCCAGCCAGCCATGTAATCCTGTCTATTAAACTTTTATAACTATAATATTAATCCAATAAATCTCTCGTCAATAATGCTCATCTGTGTGGCAGCTACAGAGGATGGACTTGTGTTAATGCACAACATGTAGTTTTCTTGCATATTTGGTTTACTTTATATTGCAATTAGTTTTTCCTCCCTTTGACCACACCTGCTGTCGTCTCTTGCGGTTCCTTACATTTGCAGCAAACAGTTTCAGCTCTCAAATTTTGTATCCTATTTCAGGCGCTTGTGTTAAAGGAATGATTCATATTTGTACATGCTGTGTCTGATTGTTTAATCTGCAGGCAAAGAGATGGTTTTGGGGTTTTGTGATACATGTGAATAATACTCATGGCTAGCAACCTAGAGCTAAAAATGGTTCACATTAATAATACTGAGTTAGAAAAAAAGCTTTTATTAAAAAAATTGTTACAGAAAACAACTTGCCCTAACACACACGCTCCATGCTATTAATGCATATGTTTATCTGCCAGTTTTCTGCCACCTAAACCCTGAGAGAGATGAAAAGAGTTAAGAATATTAACAGCAAGCTATCTATATTGAACTGTGTAATAAAACTTGGTAAAGAAACCATATAACTCCAAACTCCAATGGGATAGAGTGACAATACACAGAGCACTTGACACACAGCAGAAAAGTTGAGTTGGCATTTCTTCATTATTCTGCAAAGGGGAACCCGCAGCAATATTGGCTCTGACCTCAAACTTAAACTGTTGGTCCGAGTTAACAGCACGCCAGAATCTGGCCGTCTGGGTGTCCTGAAAAGAATGTACGTCGAAGCACAGCTCTAACACCCCCACCATCCTTCAGCACTCATAAAGCAGGTTCGTACGTTTCCCACATGACAGACTAGCACCTGGTGAGTTGAGTGAGGGAGACACTTCCGCTGACGTCCGAGCAGAAAAATCTTGTAAAAAGAGCCGCAAACACACCAGACTGTCTGGTGTTGACAACGCCTTGGCGACACATAACAGTCTCTCCACTCTCCTGCCCCAGTCGCAATAGTTTCCTTGAGTACTTAATTTAAGCTGCAGCCTAAATGTGCTTTTATTATGGCAGTTTAAAATGACCCAGCCATTTACCAGCCCATAGTACCCTGGACGCCAATAAGAGCTCTGGGCAGCGAGTCAGATCCTGTGCCAAGGAAACGGCGACAGCGAATGAGAAGTTACAAGCCCCTGACCTTCGCATCCACTCCAAAACTAACCCAGCCAGTCAGTCGTACAGTAGCTTGGCAGGCGGCAGGGGATGATGATGATGATTGCTTTTCCCCTCCTTGAATTTCCTTTGCAAGGGTGGTCATTTCACCTGAATGCTTAGACCAGAGTGACTCACAAGCTGAAACGTGAAGCTGTTTCTTCTCTTTGTGATGTGTGTTTTCAGTGAAGGATTTGTTCGTGTGCTTCAAAGGTTCACAGACCTTTTAATGTCCAGGATTGGATCCAAAGGACCCATTTGAGGATGTTGTATAAGATTCAAGGAGCTAGCCAAGACAGATAAAACGTCTGAGAGTGAAAGCTATGGTAAGAGTAGTTATCCTTTTATAGCCTGAAGTTGTGTCTGTGATTTTACAGTAAAATAAAACTATTTCCAAACTTGCTATCTACCCCCTGCAACCAGCGCAAAATGGCTCACACTACATCATCTTCATGTTAGTAATGTGTTGAACTCCATGTTGTCATTCCATCCTCTGTCATTAACTATAGCATTTTCAAGTTTCTAAAAGTTGTGATATTTAAAGAACAAATAAAAACAGTGAGCTCTTATTGAGCAGCATTATCCATTTCGGCAGAAAAAGACAGTATCAAACACAGAAACACCAATTTAACTTGATCCAAATTAAGTTTTGATCCCTGAAAAGCTCCACGATGTGCAAGAATCTGACAGCTAATAATTAGAATGTGAAATGACAAACAATCTAGACTGACTTCCTCCCAGGTTACCCTCTCCAGGGACAACTGGAGGCATGTGGCATCTTCATGTTGCTCAATCTCACAACAATAGCCTAGTGAGGAGTTAGTTTACAGTCTGGCAAAGGCCACAGTGGAGTCCGGTGACTGGTTTTCATTTACCACACTGATACGTTGCCTAACCCACGAGCCCGGTGTTATTACGGGCACTAATCCAAATCACGGCAACTCACTACCATGCAGGAAGGTGGAGTATTAATTCCAGTTAAAAAAGAAAAAAAGACATGAAAAGCACAATGGTGGGAGCAGGTCTCTGAGTAGAAAACATGAAAAAGAAAGCTACCGTGGGTCCAAAATCTGAAATGGATTTCCCATTCAAGGAAACTGGTCTCACACTATTGGACCCTATACTGTAGACACAACCATTTAGTTAAAATATGATAGTTTGCAGAGCTGGAATAAGAAACAACCCTCTTGGTGGCCAACAAAAACACACTGGCCCTCATACCTCCGCCCCGACACACAAACCAACAGAAGTTACATAACACATGACACACTCATGAGTATCTGTGATTATCATCATGTCGTATAATACGACCAAGTGCTTAAACTACATAGGATGTAGGTATGGTGTGCTGAGTGAAAATGTATGGCTCCCAATTACACCGACTGTGGGTTGATGACTGTCAGCATTAAATAAAGTACAGAGTACAGAAGTGTCAGTAACAGTAAAAGTTTCCCTTTACTGCTCCCATGGCTCACTCACAACCAGACCACAAACAGATGTTATTTAAATGTGGCCCCCAGACAAACCCACCACTGAGAGGGGCTCCTCCGACTCTCTGGGAGCGTGATCGCCTTACCCAATACGTGATGACAGGACAGGCTCCGAAATCATCTCTATCTGTCTCAAGCAGACGTTTCTGTCTGGTGCGAAGGCTAAAAATAATTGAAATTAAAGGAGCAGACTGGTGTTTGTTTATTTGCATGTTTAAGCCCATTTACCATGAATCATAAATACCTCACATTACTGTCAACCATTTTCCAAAACATATCATAGTGGTTTTGATCTCTCAATGTGTTTTTTTTCCTTCCTTCTTCCAGGCAGCCACTGGTTTCCATTTGTGTCCATATGGTATGAAAATCAGAAACCTGAAACCTGCTCAACATATTCTATGAAAGAGAACATGGCATCTAATTTTATTTCTCACAAATGAATGTTGTCGCAGTGTGGTGACACAGTGCAGACTTTTCAGATCTATACATACAGGTGCATTATGCTAATGGTATTGAGCATGTTTTGGAAATATGGTGTAAGTAATAAATGTGTTATGACAGCACAGCAGCAGTGCAGAGCATATGCACCAGACAGAGCTGTAGCTGAACAATATCTTAAACTGACAAAATGAGATGGTATATTACCTCAAATTTGGTTGCTAAGGAAAAACTAGATAAACTGATTGTATCTACCCCAAAAAGTTCAGAAACTCCTCAATTTTATTTATTTTTTTGTTTACACAAGCATTAGCAAGTTTTTTCCTGCTAATTTGAGCCTCACCAAATAACTTGAAACAATATTCAGGCCATTTACAAAAAACAATTCTGAATGACTTAAATGTGTATCTTTGTACTCTGGGTCATGCTACAGCCACCTAAGGCAGGACAGATACTGGAGACCCTGTGGCCTCTCATCAGCAGTGGGTTTATTTCCCAAGAGCTGGTTGTTAAAAGCTCCGTAAAAAGTACTCTGGAAAGAAAAAAAAGTGAGGGGGTCCCTGTTGTCCACTGGATTATGTTGTGAAGGAAAGACATTAGTTGGGTTGCTCAGTACAGATGGTTGGGCCCCCATGATTATAGAGGAACTTGAAATGTTACGTATGTGTGGGTGAGGGTCTTTCTTCCCTGCAGGATCACCAGAGAAAATATGAATCACTCAAGTGAAATATGAACCCCAGATTACAGGCAAATACATTCAAATATAATAACATCTTAAAGGAAAATTGCATCCCAGTCCCTTTCCCCCTTAGTAAATACAGCTCAGTTATTATCCCTCCCTCATTTTCACGAGAGCTGTGAAAAAAAATGACTCAAGGAGCAAGAGGCATTAGTGAGCTAGTGGAAAACTGAAGTCACGCTGTTAGATCATCCCCCACTCTAATGTTAAGATTATGACTGATCGCATGTCTTTTTTTAAGTGTGATCAACTCTGCCACTAAATCACCGCACAAATACAAGCAGCTGCAACTTTGTGTTTCAGTGCACAAAAAACTGAGATGAGCAAAGGTCCTTTTTATATCATGGCTACAGCGACAAGTGAATTTCTACTTTTTAAGAAATCAGACATCAAGAGTCTGTGCACCAATGCAGAGACATTATTCTTGGGACAGAACTTCAATTGTTGTGGGACTTTTCAACAAGTTAGTGTCTGATTCAACAAAGTTAACAGGACAGATAATAAATCCATGTCAGCTGATTAGTAACATGATTATTGAATATCTAAAAGACATAGGAGGGGGATTGATGGATGTCTTCAATCTGGTAGACAAATCTCCTTACCTTAAAAACTTTTTTAATTGACATACAAGGGAGCACTGCAGCCTGAATCAAGACCGATCATACAAACACCTATAAATAATATAAATCCAAGGGATGTATTTAATCAGAATAAGTTATGGGCGATGTTCATATACTCTACCCCTTGGTTTACTGTATGTTCACCACACCAAGTCAAACTAATAAAGTTCCACTTGGCTATTTTCTCCAAAATTAAAGAAAGAAAAGTACATTAATTGTAATGTAGGCTGTGATGCACGTTTTTATTCCCCTACTCCATCACTAGTGTCATGCAGCCTCGTGTAGAGCTAAACTCCGAGGAGCTGTGTGGATGGGGGGTCTCACCTGGACGATCTGCCGGGGCTGCACGGACAGCGTGGGGAAGTTTCCGCGGCCGTGGATCGGGACGCTCTCCCCCAGGATGGCGTCCAGACGCCGCACCTGATCCCAGGACAGCACGCTGACCCGCCGACCCTGCTCCGAGGCATCACCGGAGGACATGACGACCGCACTGAACGGGACGTCCGGAGAATGTGATCGGGGTGTTCGGACAACAACCCTCTTCTCTCCCAGGTGATGTTGGTGAGTGGTGACCGTGGATGAGGTGCGTAAAAGCGGAGAGCACTGACGAGTCTTCGCCTGGATCAACTTTTCAGACGGCTCCAAAATGCGATGAAGTGATGGGAAAGTGTGATCGAGTGTTGCACATGTCCACAACAGAAAGCCTGAGTCCTCCTCTCTGTCTCTGCCCGTCTGTCCCCCTGCACTGTCTCCACTGTCTCTGCTCAGGTTAGACCCGCATCTGCGCTTTTGACCGAGCTGGGATTAACACGAGCCTCCCTATTGGCTGGACTGAGATTTATGAGGCTTCAGCATACAGAGGACTACAATCAGCCTACACACACACACACACACACACACACACACACAC